AGGCACCGCGCTCCAGCTACATGTGCTTGAACTTCACGCGTGCACATGTACTTCGTTTCTCGATGTTCACTGGCAGGTGAAGCTCCTCAAAACAGGAAAAAAAGCTGGCCGACGGCACACGCAGGCACCTGCGCTACCTGAGCGGGCCTTCCACACGCCTGGAGCGCCACATCGTCCACAACATTGCGGTTAAACAGGTTGGGGCGATTTTGATGAGTGAGAAGGAGATGTCGGAGCAACAGTAACGTGGCCGAAGTTGTCGCTCCTGAACATCCTGCCGCCGCAGCTACATTCGCCAAGTATGCCGTTGAGACCGCACCTCCATACATGAGAGCCTTATACCCAGCATAGATCGAGCGATGCCCTCTGGGGACCTTGATGGGGAACCCGTGCTGGAGCCCTGCAGTTCTGGGGATCTAAATGCCGAGTGTACCCATAGAAGCGGCTCAAGTCCACCGAGACAGACCCACTCTGGAACCCAACCTCCTTAGAAGCCCCCCAAAGAATGTGGACCCAACCAACCCTCTCACACGTTGTGGGGCCCCGTGCCCCAGCAGAAGGTCCCTGCACGTTTCTTCTCCCATGCCTGGCAGCGTGGCTGTCGAAGCCGAGGCCGCAACCGCAAGACGAGGCAGAGAAGGCCGATGGGGCGCACGCCGCCGTCGGGCTTGTCTAAGAAGACCATGTTGGTCAAGAAGGCGAGCAGATCCTGCGGTCTGTCACCGCTGCGATGAGTGTTCATCCTGCCGACCGGCAACGCACCACAGCGGCACCCACTCGTCTAAGAGAGCCGAGAGCGCTCCAGCACCTACACGAGGGACGCCCTCGTCGTCGAGAAGCGAGGTGACGTTCGATGCCTTCTTCTTAGCAAACTTGTGAGCCGCCTTCCCTCCTCTTGTCGCACTCTCAGCCGCCCAGCTCCTCCACTCCTCCAGTGAAAGCTTTGAGTCCTCCCGTCTCCTGCTGTCAACCTCCTCGTCCATCTTGCACAAGGCATCGCGGGCGGGCCCGTCGCCCGCGGCGACAACATCAGCGAATCAAGCAAAACTGGCGAGAGCTCGGCGTCAGCAGCGAACGGGCCCATGTCGGCGACCATGGCCTCCAGGCCCCTGGACCACTTAGCGAGGAGCAAGCGGCTCTTGCAGCCAACTTCACCTATGCGAGTGTGACAAGTACGCCTGCACAGCGCAACAGAAGAGATCCAAGCCGTAGTCGGCCGAGAAAACCTGCGCCTCTGGTCAATTTCCCAAGCCGCAGCGAGAGAAACGATTTTCGATTTGGGCCCAGCGGCCCTGCCCACCCTGGAGTTCTGAGGGTCTATCCCGTGGATCTGGATCACGCGGCGCTCCGGGAACCCGAACCACTCCATTACCACGAGGCGGAGGTCTGACGGGGCACCCACATCCCAAGACCAATTGTACTCCTGAGGGGCCTGAAGGGGACCGATGAGTTCCATGGGAAACGCCTTACAGCGCACTTGCTTGTTGATCGTCGACACGTGGCTGAGATCCTTAAGCATTAAGAAGACTGGCGCGCGCGGGTACAGGGGGGCCCGGTCCATGACCGAGATCTCCTCAACACGCGCGGTCAATGCCTCCGCATCCGCAAAGAAGTCGAGGATTGCACTGGCACCGGCAGCTTGAACTGGCCCAGCTACTTCACCCAAGATGACCCACTCGTCCAAGGTGCCCTTAGAGTCCTTCTGAGGTACCAGTTGAGTCCCCTGGGGGCACGTAGTCCTGCGCGTAAGGCCCCCTGGTGCCAGAAGAACCCCTCGAACCTTTGCAGCCAGCCCGGTTCCAGAAGCGCTTCTGGCTCAAAGTTGAATTCTTTTTGGGGCACCCAGGGCCTTTCTTGGGCCATGACATAGGCCCCGACCGTCTACAAAAGGTCCATATTGGGCCCTGAGAGTTCCTTGCCCGTCACAGTACACGCTGATGAGGACGAGCCCCTTCGGGAACCCCACGGTGACAATCCTGGCTACAACTCTGCTAGGTCAGCCCTCAAATACCGTGCTCGCTATCGGTGTCGAGCCTAAAGACGAGCGGACAGCAATTGCAACACCTGAACTACTCTGCTGCGCCGCTGGCCCTGCACTGTGAGCCAGCCCCAAAGACAGAAGATAACCGTGCCTGCGCCCCCAAATCGTAGCGGAGACCTGCTTGGTATCGCTCTTGATACGCGTCTTTTGGATGCAGCAGACCTGCGGAGGAGGGTGGGCCCTCGCCACTTTGCTATCATCAGCTGACCACTCCATCACCGCCTCGAACGTGGTCCACGAGCTAGCGCCCATACCTGCAATGGTGAGCGTGCTTATGGCTACTGACTGCGGTTGCCGACGGGCCTCTTCGGCGGCGGAACTCTTTGCCAAACTAGCGGAACCCTGGACCACCTCTGGAGTGCATTCGCCCGCAAGAAGATTACGAGCAGGAGGTTCTGGCGCTCTCCTGCCGGGCCCCAACCGACGACATCTCGAACCCGAGTCGAGCTCAACGTGGGGAGAAGGGATCGCGGTCTCCAAATCGCCGCCGCGTGCACCAGCTGCCCCGGAAGGTCGGCACCCTCTGGCGCCACAATGCTGACGGGGTGACGCTGAGCAGTGCGTGCCGACGGCAGCAGCCGAAGGTCGGTGCTCTCTGGCGCCCCCAATGTCAGCTGGTGGTGCTGAGCAGTGCGTGCCGACGGGGGCTCAAGTACACGCCGAAGATGCAGCCGCCCTTTTTTTAATATAAAAAAGTGGCCACCCAGCGCCCTCGTGCCCCCAGCCCCCAAGAGCGGGCCAGTTGGGGGGCCTCAGCCGACCTCTGAGTCGCACATGCCCCCAACCCAGAAGAGCGGGCCAGATGGGGGGAAGGTTCACGAACTTCCGCTGGCCCACGAAATCCCTGTGGCGACACCTGCGGCCCCCGAGGAGCCGCGAGCGCACCGCTCGACGATTGCGCCGCGCACGTCCCAGCCGACCCTGAAACCCCAGCGCATGAGGGCAGAGGGGCCCGGCGATCAGGGGCGGAACCCCTGCCCCCTCTGCCCGCGGGCCCAAGGCCTTCACCTCGTCTTGCGCCAGGAATAGGCCCCGCGGTGGGATTGAGCAGCGGCGCCCCCTCGCGGTCCATCTGGCGGAACAGCGTAGACTCAAAGAGCTGGTCGTCCTTCGTGACTGGGACGGCGAAGCCCGCGGCGTCCTCCCAATCAACATCGATCATGTTGCTATCCAGAAAGCGGTCTAGATCAGCCATGCCCGTCTGCCAGCTGCCTGCGCCGCGAGGTACTTGCGCTTGGCTGCGCCCAGCGCCTCCTGGGGCCCACCTTTGGCTGCCTTGAGCTCCTCGATGGCTGTGTCGAAGGCCTGCTTCCGTTCAGCGAAGTCCTCGCCTCCGAGCAATTCCATGCCGATGTCTTCCGTGTCGCCATCATTGGCGGCGACGATGTCGCCGCCCCCAGGGGGGGCTGAGCACCAGAGCCAGCAGCATCCGCAGAAGCAGCGGCGGCCCGAGCAGCAGCCTGGGCATCGAGCGGCAACTGCTGCAGCTTCTCCAGGGCAGCCCTGCCCTCGGCCGACACGACGACCGATGATGCAAACCCTGCAGGCGTGGCCTTGAGCGGGTCCTCGAATTCATTGACGTGCGCCTTGCACACGAGCTCCTGGGCCTGCCCGAGGTCCTCCCGCCCTTTGGCCAAGGACTTCTTGACCGTGGCGAGCTCTCGTCCGAGGCAGTGCGCTGGCGCTCGATCTCACCGATCCGCACCTCCATCTTCGTAATCTTGGACTTGAGGTTCTCCGCCGTCTAGCGCGCGTAGGTGCACGCTTCTTCGACTCCGTAGCCTTCGTCTCTGCCTCCACAACCGCGTCAATTGCCGTGATGTCGACGCCGAGCTTTTTGAGGTAGGCGAGCACCTCGTTCCCTGAGGTGGGCTGGGCAGCCCCGCCGCCGCCGTTGCCACCTCCTGCTCCAGCAGCCCAGGGCGGCGCCCCACCTGACGACGGCGGAGGTCCACCTTTGAGCTTCGCGACCTGCTGCTGCAAGTCCTGGAGTTGCTTGAGCATCTTGGCGCTCGCATTCCTGGGGGGCCCTGAGCCCACTGGCCGAGCGGCGGCCTGAGCGTGGGCCCCAACGGCTGCTGAGGTGGCTTGGCCTTAGCAGCAGCCTGGCGCGCAGCCTGGATGGTCTTCTGCGCTGCGGGGCGACCACACAGACGGCACGAGATCCTCGACGCCAATTTGTCCGCCACGCCGCATTGATTGACAGCCCCAGTGGGGGGTGCGCGGCCCAGGCGGAACCTGACAATCGAGAGGGGCCATCCACGGCGGGGAACCCCGCGACGAATGGTTGGCCACACGGGCCTCGTGAAAAGATCAGCAAGATTGGCCCGCAAGCGCGAGCCGCTCTGAAGTACGCGCTTGGAAGCTCAGCCCCAACGGCCTGAGCCAGAACGGCTAGGAGGAGGAGGAGCAGGAGGAGGAGGAGGAGGAGGAGGAGGAGGAGGAGGGGGAGGAGGAGCTCACCGATCCCCGAGTGTTTGCCGAGGGCTTGGAGGGAGAAGCTGGCGGCGGCCGCTCGCGCCGCCTTATTGGTGGCAAGAGGAGGGAGGGAAGAGGAGGAAGACGAGGAGGAGGAGGAGGAGAAAGACGAGGTGGCGGAAGACACCAAACAGCAAGAGTAGGGGCGGTAGCAGGAGGAGAGGGAGGGGGAGGGGCGTCAGAGCCCGCGTCTGGTCGAAGGCGGGCTGGGAGGAGGGAGGCTCGACGTTTTTCTGGAAATAACTATGTCAACTCGGTGTGTGTGTGTGTGTGTTTGTGTGTGTTAGTCCCACGCAATTCCGCCGACAGCACGCTGTTTGAGTCGGCCATCATTCCGTTGTTTCTTGCCGCGCTGAAGGGCTTAGGTGGACAAACAAACGTTGACGGTGAGACATGTTCTGAGGGTCATCGGGAAGTGAGCAGGTTCCATTGTTCCGCAGGAAGGGAAAGAATCCGTGGCAGCGGCGGCTCCACGGCGGAGGACGCCGTCAGCCTTGGCAGAGCCGAGGGCTCTAGCGAGAAGCCCCTCGTGCGCCACGTGATCGTTAAGGACGATTCCGGAGATGCCTCGCCGTCCTCGTCGCTGTCGTCGTCGATCAAGGTACCGATACCGCTGCTCGTCCTAGAAAGCTCTGGTCGTCACGGCTGGGTTCGACTCGAAGTTTTGGTCCGAACGCACCCTTGGATACGTCCGTGGAGTAGGCGGTGCTGACACCTTTTGTACCTCAGAATTCTAGTGAGAACGTTCCTAGGAAGATGTCCATGGAGTAGCGGTATCGCTAGCTTTTGGTTTCCCCAGAGTCACCCGCCTCTCCCCGCTCGCGCTCCCGCCTCTCCCCGATCGCCACATGATCGCGAGTGGTGGATGCGAAGATTATTCCTCCGCGTCCTCGTCGTCGTCATCGTCGCCTCCTCCGCCTCCTCTCTTGCACTTGCTGGTTCTGCCGACGGCTGCTCGTCCTCCCCCCATTGCTGCATCCTCTCCACTCCTCTCCCCTCCTCCCCGCCTCTCGTGTTCCTCCCCTCCACCTTTTCGGGGAGGTGGGCGGGGAGGGCGATGATGAGGACGGGCAGGTGGAGCATGAGCTGGAGACGGCGGACGATCATGAGGAGGGGGTCGACGAGGGGCAGGATGGAGATGATGAGGGGGAGGGGGAGGAGAGTGAGCATTGAGGAATGCGGGCAGCAACACCAACGGAACGGAAGCAGTGGGGGGAGGACGGCCACGCCGCCGACGACGACGACGACGACGACAACGGCCGCGGCGGCGGTCGGCGGCGGCGGCCGTGGCGGCCGGCCGCGGCGGCGTTCCGCGGCCGCTCGCGGGGCGCAGCTTCGCGGCGGCCGCCGCGCTGCGGGGGTCCGCCCGAGGGCGCGACCGCGGGGGGCAGGGCCGGCGGCGGCCCGCGCGGGGCCATGGCGCTCCGGGCCTCGGCGATGCGAGCGCTGGCCGCGGGAAGGGCGCCGCCCAGGCCCAGCTTCGGGCGCGCCGCCCCGCGGCCGGCCGCAGGCGGCAGGGGCGGGCGCGTACGATCGGATGTTTCCATCCGGGCGCTTTTCTTCCCTTTGGGGCAATACTGTGTCTGGGCGGCGGGCGACCGAGAGTGGACCCGGGGCGAAGAGCAGGTCCTGAGGAAGGGTTCGATACCTTTGGGGCCGCGGGCTGGAAAAACAGATCGGCGGACGTCCAGGAGCCGGGCGTTTTGGAGGACTGAGACTTCAGCAAGGCCCAGGGAGAGTGGGACCTTCGTCGGTTCCCGGGAGGTTTTTCTGCTCTGAGCCTTGGGATGCGTGCCAGTAGTCCGGCAGGCCTCGCCAAGAGCGTCCCGGAGGTGCCCGAGTCGTCCCGAGCGGCCGCCGGAGACCTGAGCTGTTTCTGTATTTTGTTTCGCCGATCGGCGGGTGCGCCCGCGCCGCCCCCATCCCCCCACCATTGAGCAGATCTTGGCTGCTTTTGGCGTCTTGTTTCTGGCGATTGGTCAGGACCCCTCCCCACCAGTGTGCTTGCGCGACTGGTACAAGCAGATCGACGGAGTACCAGCCTAGACCCACCCACCCACTTTTCCCCCGCCCTTCGGCCAAATGCCGCAACCCAGAATCAAATAACGCCTACGTACTTCTGACCTGAGTGTCGCACCAGCCAGCCACGACTCGGAGGAGGGCCAGTCGAGGCAGCCGCAGTCCTCCCTGGCGCTGCTCGTTCCTCGTTGTCGTTCTGGAGGCTTTTCGCTGACGCCTCGTGGGTCCGCCTCGGAAGAGACGGGTCAGGGCGGGTCCTGGGAGAGATTCGGAGACCGTTTTTGATCGAATTGGCCCAGAGAGCGGATGGAGCAGGATAGATATGAGAGGAAGGAGGAGAGAGGAGAGATGCAAGTTAGGCGAGCTCGCCTCACACCTGTCCTTCCCCTCCCCCATGTCTCTTCCCATTGTGTCGAATCCTGCTCAATCCGCAGACTGCCAACTGGCGTGTCCAAGAGGACATCCGGAGTTGCACTTGCAGGATCTGGCCCACCGTTTGCTGCTCAATCGGAAGGGAGGCTTTATCTAACAATGGAGGGGGAGACGGATGAGCAGGAGGAGGATTCCATAAGAGGAGGATGGAGGAGGTGGAGCAGCAGATGCGAGAGGAGGGGGAAGGGAGGAGGGCGGCAAAGACGAGGAGCGAATCGTTTCCAGACGTGTTGCCCATGATGTGGCGAGAGCCATTCTGAACGACGGGAGCAGATCACCGATCCTGAAGTTAGGCCAACGCTACGACGGAAGTCCCATCTTCTCAAGATCGAATACTTCACGATAAACTCGGCACACGCCTGATATACAGCTTCGAGTTCCTATGCAGGAAGCAATTGCAATGACGAGGCGAGTGCACGGTTGAACATTGCTTTCGGAGAGAGTCGCATTCGTAATGCGTAGTTGAACGAAGGACGGAGGAATTGTTTCACCCGCGGGGGCGTGACGAACATCGCGCTTCACGCGTCGCGGTCTGATCCAGAGCGGCTGCCTTTCTCCAAGGGGACGACGCGAGGGCGCGATGGCACGAAGAGGATCGCCCCCTCGCGCATCGCGGGGCCTGATGCGGGAAGTTCGTTGGCCCAGAGGAAGGATACCATGGCGAGCCTGGGATAGCGGTAAGACTGGAGGGAGAGAGAGAGAGGAACGAGGCATGGGAGTCGGGCCGGGCGCACCTTCGGGAATAGGGAGACGAAGACATGAGCCGAAGACGTCCAAAGAGACCTTGTCCTCGACCTCAGAAGGGGAGTGGAGTTGGAATCCGCTACGCGTAAGAGTGATCCTTCTCCGGAGTGACCTTAGGGCCCGTCCTCCTCCGCGGCCTCCTAAGTTCGGAAGTTCGTGCACCAAATGTCAGTCTTTCCTGCGATCCATCTTGCGTGTAGCCGAGGGGGGAGGGTAAAAGGGGGTGGGGGGAGGGAAGGCATGCATCGCCAGGACCGATGTCACGCCGGTCGGACGGCCCAATCAGCATGTTGTTGCTGAGAACGTGCGGAGCTTCTGTACAACACACAGGTTCGTAACACGTGCAGTTTGAACGACGACGCGCGTGTCACTGATGCTCTTTACCTCATGGGAGGAAGATCTAGCCCGACCCCCGTAGGTGGCGCTCAAAGCATTGGGCGTTCATTGAACAGCCCAGCCCTTCCCTGTTCGATCCCTTCCTCGAGAGCGTTTCCCGAAGGGCTTCGCTTGGAGGCGTGATTATTTCGAGGATGGCTCTGCTGCCCTCGACGAACTGCCCGTGCAGCTGCGGTGGCCGCCGACGACGTGCCAGGGCTCTGTGCAGGGCACAGCTGGGCAGCCACGCCCAGCCTGCGAGACGGCGCGCGTGCCACTGACGCCCTGTGCACCTCCCGAAGTCGGGGCCGGCTGGCGGGCGAATGGCCTCCTGGCGCCCTTTCGCGTCGTCCAGTCTGGCTGCCTCGGCGCGGCCAGAGGGCTCCCGGAGGCGTACACGTTGCCAGAGGAGCACTTCTTTCGCGGCGCAAATGGCCCCCAAAGAGAAAGCAGATACGTTGTCTGAACATGTGTGTCCGCGCATTGTCTCACAGTCGACAGGTTCTGCCAGTGTAGCGTCTAGACTTACATTATTCTAAATGCGCGATGGGCAGAGCCAGGCGGCGGGTATGAACCCGCTGCCAGAGGAGCAGGAGCAGGAGCAGGAGAAGAAGGAGGAGTCTGAGGGGCGGATAGACGGATCTTCTGGTCAGCCTCGGTCGGACGATCTGAGGGCGAGGGACGGGGGCAGCCGGACATTTGATATCTTGGTTTGTTCGATGCGGCATATTCGAAGGTGCTGGCGTATTCCCCAGGGCGAACGTTTCCTTCGACCTGCATGCACACGGGGGAGGTGCTCTGGAAAGGACGTTGGGTTAGGGACACGGAGTATACCAAGTGCGATGCCACCGAATTATTTTTGACGCAATGGGAGTACAGGTCGAGACGGGACAGCTCTGCGCGCGTGCCCAGGGGAAGTATGGATATTTGTCATATTTTTGCTGACTGCCCTGGGAGGCGGAACGGTCCCCGGGGATGGCGACTTGGCGCTGGCACTTGAAGAGATCATGACGCTGCCTGCCTTTCAGGGCGCTGCCGGCCTTCAGGGGGTATGCACCGCCCCCTAATCGCCCGTTCATCGCCGATAGGGACCCGACAGCCCACCCCACCCAGAAAGTGTTGTTTCGTTGTCGTGGGCCCGTCGCTGATCAATCTGCGATGTATCGCTGTTTCCGGGTCGACGTACCCCCCCCTGAGCGAGTCCCCCTAACGTTTCCCCTCAGTCGAGGAGGAAGAGGAGAATCGGGTAGGGGGATCGAAGGCGAGGGTCGGGGAGGCAGGGTCCACTCCGATGCGATGCATGTGCGATGTATCCCAGATCCGGGCTCGATGTCTCCCCCCTGAGCTGTTCCTCCCCGACTGTTGCCCTTCATTGGCGCCGCCGGCCTGGGCAGCGCACGCCCTCGCGCGCGCGAGCGCGGCTGCGCCACGAGGCGCCGCCGCCGCGCCGCCGCCGCCGGTGCCGTCCTCGGAGCCGCGCTGGCGTCGGTGGCGTCCCCGCAGGTGGTCAAGTGGGGGATCCAGTCACTGTTCGAACCACAGAGTTTGTAGTGGGATTTGCCAGCATGTCGTGGGGTCTCAAGTGTGAGCTGGTGGCTTCTGGTGGGGGCCCACGAAGATGTCATGAACTGGGCGCCCGTGAGACTGCGTGAAGCTCCCATGTCTGGCCACCTAATCCCCCCCGTCTTCGCTGTGAAGGAAATGAGTCCTCATAATGGTTTCTGGCATGTCCGTCGATTCCATGAGGTCTTCAGGGGCAACGTTAGATGGGGATAGGCTCAGCAGGGAGGATGCATCGAACCCCAGTCTTCCATTCATCGCCGAGAGTGGCCCGATGGTCCACCCCGCGGCGATGTATTGCCGATGTGTTTCCCCCCTGAGCCGGCCCCCCCTAACGTTCCCCCTGAACAAACAGGAGTCCTCAGGACGTCTTGTGACGTTCTCGTCGGTTACTTACAGGCGGTTTGTCAATTCTTCACGCTTCGCTAATCCCCGCCAGCCCCGCAGCACGCTCGGCGTTCGATCCGTTTCGCGCGCCCGCTAACCAAAAAGTATCCCCGCCCGCCCGTTCAGAAATCCTGCGCGTGAGAGTTGACGGGAAAGGGACGAACAGACACATCACATAGTGAAAACGAAGTTCGGCGGATCCATGGAGAATGTGAACGAGGGGAGGAGGAGGAGCAGGAGCAGGAGGAAGAGGAGAAGGAAGCAAACCGCGTCTTGGGGCCCTCGTGAGACGTTCTTTGGGCGCTCTTCGGCGCTCTTAGTGCCGTCTTGAGTCCCACTTAGAGCCTTCGGAGGAGGAGGGGTACGAGTAGGACGACGACGACGACCACGACGACGAGGAAGAGCAGCAAGAGGAAAAGGACAGCGATGAGGGCAAGGACGAGGACGAGGAAAAGGAGGAGGAGGACAACGAGGACGAGGGCAGAGTCATCCAAATCGTCTATTTGAACCCTCTTGGGACTAGTTTGAGGGATCTTGGGTCATCTTGGGGCTCTTTTAGGAGATCTTGGGGTCCCATTGGGGACGTTTTGAGGCTCTGTTGGGGGCCTCTTGGGGCTTTCGCGGAGGGCGCCAGTGAAAAGAGATGGGTCGTAGCGTTTGCCCCCCCATCTGGGGGCGTCGAATCGCCCCTTGGGGCCCTTTTGGGCGCTCTTGGGGACATCTCGGGCGCTCTCGGGGCCGTTTTTGGGGCTTCTTGAGCCCATCTTGGGCCTCTCTTGGACCATCTTGGGGCCGTCTTGGGACATCAAAAGCGAATCGCACGCGAAAGGGCGAGCGGGCTCAAATCATTCTTCCGTAGCCATGTGGTCTCAAGCCGTTTTGGTTCAAGCCAAGGAGTTGGCCCGATGGTGCCGCCGCGCAGGTTTCCTCCCACTTCTCCCACGACCCCTGCCGCGAGCTCGCCCGAGCGACGGCGGGTCCGCTGTGTCACGATCAGAGTCGCTCCGGGGGACCCTGCGATGTCGTCGTCGGATGCGTCGGGCCTGGACATCATTGCTACGCCCGGGTCGACGAAGGTTGAATTTTTTAAAAGATCTTTTCCAGTCCGGTTCGGACAGACGTGCTTGATTCTCATACTCAAGGGCTACAGGCTCAGCAGACAAATGCGTTACAGCAGATGCAATCCATGCTAAACCAACTTCCTCGGCAGCGGGGGAACGTTCTCAGAAGCTTAATGGCCCGGCGACCGACGTCGACGCGGAGGGCTTTCGTGATCGTGTTCAGGGAGACCGTAGTTTTACTGATGTGCAGGAGAGGGTGTCTGCCAACGCCAAGGCGGATCTCAATGATCAGCTTGTCAGCCTCCCCGCTGTGCAACAACGGCTACCATCTCCAGTGGATCGGACCGCAAACGGCATGTTTTTGAACCCCTTCTGTCCCGAAGCGTTGTCCGATCTCAGCCAGCGTGCTGAGAATGAACAGCAGAAGCCGTGCAGTCTATCGATTGGTGGGTTACCATCGTGAAGTACTGCTTCAGTAGCGCTGTGAGCATTGGGAGTGGTACAAGACGCAGGTTCCGTCGCTTTTCATCCCGAACGCCCATCATGCTTTCGGACAAGCCGATCATACTCCATCATCCCCAACTCGGCGGAGGACGCGTCTCGATTCACGGAGTGGGCTTTCACTGCCCCGCTGGTGCGCCGTGACTGACGTAGCCATGCTGAGAATTGCCAGATCCGCCTTCGTGAGGATATGTCTCTACCTTGGAGAATGCGGAGCGCATCCTCTCTTGTCTGTGGGGGCTCACGAAGGTGAAGCTTCAAAACCCGGGTCACTGGTCTGATGGCTTGAGGACGGGCTGTTATCGATATGGCTCATGGCTTTCCCAGGTCTAGACGACTCGCGGGCCCTTGTGTACGCTGAACGGAAGATGCCCAGTTCGCGGTCTGACCCGAACGATCGAAACCCGACTTGTCGATCTCTTTCGGGCGCGGAGATCGGCTGCGTTGTGGACGTTGCAACTGAACGCCGGCCGGTCCTTCGGGCCGCCGCTGGACGGAAGCCCGGGCATGGAGCATCACTGGCGGGACAGCATGCGAAACGATGGGGCGACATCGGCATGGGCATTTTCGGTCTGGGCCGCTGCAGCGAGCGCGCTGTCGAGTTGTCCGGCGGCAGCGCGCGCGATGGAGGCGCGCGGGGCGAGGGCGATCCTGAGGACTTAGCACCGTTCGAGCCGCGCAGTGATTTTAGCCCGCCCTCTCCCCGTCCGCCAGTTTCTCGGCCTTCGCGCAGAGAGCGATCGGTCTGATCACGTTTCTCTAACCTCATCCGTCAGGACCGCGCTGCTGGACGGATATTTGCTTGAACCCCTGCGGTGGGACTTATATGTCTGTTTACTGGTCCCCTGTATGCGCATACCCGTCCCCCCCCCTTTGGCCAGGACACGCCGCCCCAACACGTCCGTAGCCTGTTTGGGCTCATGGTCCAAGCATTTCTTCGGGGTCACGGCCACGGGCTGTCTCGTGGCCGCGAGGCCTGCTCCGAGGGCCGCCATCCGCCCTCCTCGCGCTCCTGGCGGCAGCACTGGGAGGCGAGGGTCGCTGGCCTGACTTGCGGCAGGCGCGGGGCTGGATGGCCCAGGCGGCTGTCGAGGACCTCGACGGTGGCGACGAGGACCTCTGGGAGGCGCCGGAGGCCGTCGTGCCCGCGCCCGTGGAGGACGGACCCGTGCCGATCGTCCCACTGGCGGTGGGTCAGGGCAGATGCTACTGCAGCACGGGCTACACTGCGGGCGGCCTCGAGCAGTGCCGGTTCGCGTGGCGGGCGCTGCGTGTCTCCAGCGCAGAGCCGCCGTTGCGCTTCGTGAAGGCCGAGTTCCTCTTCAGCGACGACGGCTACTGGGACTGGTGGGCCAGCCACCCTGGCCAGCCGAGCGCGATGACGGCGCGCCCGTTCATCCGCGTGTGCTCGGAGAACCCGTGCTCAGTCTTGGAGGGGCCGGGGACGTGCACCGAGCTGATCCACGTGTCGGACGGGGCGGAGCTCGGCCTCGGGGACCTGCGGGCGCTGTTCGTCGAGTGCCAGGAGACGAACCCCGAGGCGGCTTGGCCAGCAGCAAGCCTCGGGCCGCTGGTCGCCGCCGCCGCCCCCGCGAGGCCCGCTGCGGTGGCCAAAGCGGCGGGGCGCCCACCAGCCGCAGCAGGTCCTCCCAGGGCCCCGCCTGGCGCTGCCCCTTTCGACGACTTCCTGAGCGTGAGAGGCTCGTCGCGCGGGCCTGGCTCAGAGCTGGCCGCAGGCGAGGAGGCGGCTGCCGCGGGCGGCCTGGGAGGCAAGCTCGAGGGTGCTCGTGTGCGCTTCGAGGAGGGGAAGCGGGCTGCTGGCGACGTCAACCTGGACGGCTCCCCCCTCGGCGCAGAGGCGGCTGGCGAGGGGCCCGTGAAGAAGCGGTCGCTCGGAGACCTGCTGGTCGAGCGCGCCGCGAAGCTCAAGAGGGCCGCCTCGGACGCGGCCCCCCGAGGGTCAGGAGACCCCGTGCCCGATCGGGCGCTGCCAGGAGCTGGTCCGAGCGGCGGCATGGCGGAGCTGGCGCAGGCGCTCGTGATGGCCATCCGCGAGGGCAAGGAGGGTCCCCCTGGCGACGGCGGCGGGGGCGGCCTCGGCTCCTCGGACCCCGCGGCGGTGCCGCGCGACCTGGCCACGAAGAGGGCCTTCTGTCGTCGGATGGCCGCCGCCTCCCCAGGCCGCCTCACGGAGCTGAGCCTGCAGCAGATGGCGGACTTCCTGGGCTCGCAGGAGGGGGAGGCAGCCGTCGACGCGACGGGCCCGATCGCGCTGCGGTACCTCCTCACGATCTACCTGCCGCAGCATCCGGTGAAGGAGATCGGCGTGCAGACGCACCGCGAGCTCCGCACCCTCGCGGAGGCGGTGGACCTGCTGATGCAGGGGAAGGCGGCCCACGCCTGCGACCTGATCGTCCAGCGCCTGAAGGCGCTGCAGGTGGCAACGACGGATGGCTCGTGGGCGGCGGCGAAGTGGTTGGAGCTGATCCCGCCGCGCGACGAGCCCACGGCCATCCGCCGCGAGGAGGAGGAGCTCATCCGCAGCATCCAGCTCGGGGAGATGAAGCTGGACGAGCTCTCCGCACGGCTGGCCTTCGCCGAGACGCCGGGATAGGGCGGAGGCCCGACGGGGGCGCGCCCGCCGCTGGCGCCTCCGTCTGTTGGCCAGGCAGGGGGGGCACCCCCTGCGACAGCGCAGGCGAAGGGACCTGGGGGGCGGGCCCCCCGCCAGCCGCGGGCTCGGCCGCCCCGCAGGAAGGCTCCCGCGGCGGCTCCACCAGCCCCCCTGGCGGCGGCCGCGGGCGGGCCTCCCCCGCAGGCCGAGGGGTCGGCAGCCCCACCGCCGTGGAAGATGTCCTTCGCGGAGATGCGGAAGAAGTTTCCGAAGCAGCCGGGGGAGACGAACAACCAGCACCGCCTGCGAGCCTTCAAAGCTCGTGCGGCGGCGCGCCCTCGTCGGACCAGAGCGGCGGCAGCCTGCCGCCTGCCCCGCGCTATGGTGGAGCCTCCTCAGGGAAGGTGGCCGATGCCTCCATCAAAGGCGCGAGCCCTGCGAAGGGCGCTGGTGGGGGAGTCCGCGGCGTGGGCCAAACTCGGTTTACCGAGGGCGGAGATCGTGCCACCCTAGGCGGGGGGGGTGAGGGCGTCGCGGAGCCCCCGCTGGCCACCGCGCTGCAGTGCTGGTCCGACGAGCTCTCCTTCGGCTTCGGCAAGAGCATCGTCGCGGTCGACCTGGCGGCGCGGCTGGTGGCAGCAGTGCGACGCCACCCAGGCAGCCTCGGCCACTTCGCTCGGTCGTTCAGCATGCGTGCGGACACATTTTGTGGGAGCGGAGGGTCCTCGAACAGGAGGGTTCGGGACGCCCTGCCGCTTCCCCTTCCGTCGACCGAGGAGGTGGGCCGCTGGCTGGCCCACAGTGCCTTGCCCAAGGCACGCAGGTGCCGCCGCCGCGCCGTGGCGCGGGTGGTCAGCGAGCAGGCGTGGCTGCACCTCAGCGTGGTGGCGCTCAACTACGCGTTCTGCGGCCGCGCGCAGGAAGGCTGGCGCCACAAGCCGACCCTGTCGAAGGCGCAGACGCAGGTCTACGTGCACCTGAAGAGTCGAGCGGCGGCCCTGGCGGAGGACCCGCTGGCCATGGTCGTGGTCCCCGCGATCGACGAGCTGGCGGGCGGCTGCGGGTCAGCGTACGAGGGCGAGACGGGCGTGAAGGCCCTCCCCTGCCGGCTCTGCGAGCTGGCCCCTGGGCTGCCCGCGCGGGAGTGCGCTGCCACGCTCGACGCAATCGTCTTCGTTGACGACGAGGTCGGCGCCTGGCTGCGCCGCCCCGGGCTGGCGCTCCTCGACCAATCCGACTGGCCCGACCCGCTGCCGCGGGCCCGCGTGAACGTGGAGACGGATGCGGACTGGGAGGAGCTGGCGCTGCACCTCGTGTCGCTCGGCATCTTCACCACGCTCGCGGAGAGCGAGCTGGTCCGCGTGAGGGGCGAGCCCGTGCTGAACGGCCTGTTCGCGGTGGAGAAGAAGGGCGCTCCAGCGCCTGGCGCCACGCGGGTCACCAGGCTCATCCTCAACATGGTGCCAGGCAACTCGCTCCTGAAGGCCCACGTGGGCGAGGCGGCGCTGCTCGCGGCCTCGACGTCCTGGACGTCGGTCGTGATCCCCGAGGGGAAGCTGCTGCTGTGGTCGGGCGACGACCAGAAGGGGGCCTTCTTCGTGTGGCGGGTCCCGCCCGCGTGGCACCCCTACATGGCCGTGGGGCGGCCGCTCGCGGGCGAGCTGTTTGGTCGCTCGGAGCCCGTCGTCTACGTGACCTCGGCTGTCATCGCCATGGGCTGGTCGCTCGCGGTGCCCGTTTTCCAGCACATCCACCGACGACTGTGCCGCCACAGACGGGGAGTGGCGCAAGGATTGCGCGCGGCCCCTGGTCGAGGCAGGCAGCGGCCAGGACGCTGGCTGGTGGCAGGTTTACATCGACGACTTCGATGCGCCGGAGATCGTCGAGGAGGTTCTGGCGCGCAAGCTTGCGGGGGCCCCGAGCGACCTCCAGCTGCAGGTCCGCGCCAGCTACGAGAGGGCAAGCGTCTCCTTCTCGGCCGAGAAGGCGCACTGCAGGCAGCTGAGGGTCGAGCGCATGGGCGCGGACGTCGACGGCGTCAGCGGGCGCCTCGCGGTCCCCGCTGCCAAGGCGCTGGCCACTGCGGGCCTCTGCTTGGCCGCGGTGCAGCGGCGCCTGGCCCCGTGGCGCGTGGCCATGGCGGCCCTCGGCAAGCTCGCGAGGGCCTTCGAGTTCAGGCGGCCGCTTTTCGGGATCCTGAACTCCGTCTGGAGGCTGGCTGCGTCCTCAGCGCAGGGGGCTTACCTGGACGCAGAGATGGTGGAAGAGCTCCTCATGGGCGTGATGGTCCTGCCGCTGGCCGCCTCCTCGCTGCGGGCGCGCATTGACGGCATGGTCACGTCCTCGGACGCGTCGGAGATGGGCGGCGGCGTGTGCACGTCAGCTGGCCTGCGCGAGGACGTCGCCGCCGCCTTGCAGGTGCCGAGGACGGTCCCCGATCAGCTGGGGATAGGGGCCAGGCTCCTCAACATGCCCGAGGGCCCCGCCCGACCGTGGGCGGCAGCCAACCCACGCGTCCCCGCCAGGGCAGTCCGCAGGGTGTTGTCGGTGCTGCTCATCGGCCTGTTCGACGGCATCGGAGGCCTCGCCGTCGCCTTCTCGAGGCTGCCCGTCCGCATCGCGGCCTTCGTCGCGGCCGAGACGGACGCCAAGGCGAGGCGCGTTGTCAGACTCCGCTGGCCAGGTGTCATCGACTGGGGCGACGTCACCCGTGTGGGCAGCGAGACGGTGCGGGATTTGTTCGAGGCGTTCGGCGGCCTCGTCGACCTGGTGGTGGTCGCAGCGGGCAGCCCCTGCCAGGACCTGTCACGCCTCAACGTCGGCGGGCGCGGCCTCAGCGGCAGGAAGTCCTCGCTGTTCCACGAGGTGCCACGCATCCTGGCTCTCCTCGCCGCCGTCTTCAAGGACAGGCTCGTTTGGTTCGTGGAGAACGTGGCCAGCATGTCCGACGCCAACGTGGAGCTGATCTCGGAGGCGCTGCAGGTGAGGCCGACGCTGGTGTGCTCGTCGGTGTTCGTGCCGTGTCGCAGGCCGCGCCTGTTCTGGACGAGCTGGGGCGTCACCGCATCGGCGCCTCTTCGGCTGACCGACCGCGGGGTCTACGACGAGCTGGTGGGCCCTGGCGTCCCGCTCATGGACCTCGCGTGGGAGGACGAGGGCTGCTCTTGGCCAGGGAGACCAAGGTGCTTCCCCACGCTCGTCTGCTGCAGGCCTCAGCCCTCCTTCCCCTCTGCCCCGCGTGGCTTCGCGGCTGCATCGGAGACGGCTCGTCAAAGGTGGGCTGCGGACGGGCACAGGTATCATGCGGCTTTGTACGAGGGCAAAACCATGATCTGCACCCCCTCGTTCCCTTTCCTGCGCATCCCAACCAGCGAGGAGAGGGAGCGGCTCCTTGGCTTTGATGTGAGGTACACCTCCCTAGCCACCAAGGGCTCGAACCCTCAGGACGCCTCCGACGCCAGGGCCTTCCTCCTCGGCAACAGCTTCAGTATTCACGTCGTGGCATGGTTGTGCCAGCAGCTCCTGCACCGCCGCGGCGCGCTGAACAGGGAGCTGTCGGTAGAGGAGGTGTCCCCCGTCCGCGTGTGCCGGGCGACGCGGGACCAGGCGGGGGCCTTCGTCACGGAGCCAGGAGAGCCGGACACCGCGGAGGCGAGGAAGCTGGTCCTGCACTACCTCAGCCGCGCGGAGAAGGGCGGGTCGGACGTCAGGCTGGACTACGGCGTCCCCTACCGCCCGCGAGGTTGGCCGAGGACGAGCCTGGGCCCGTTCGTGTGGAAGTGGCGCGTGGTGGTCAGCATGGCGTGGCCTGGCCGGAGCTCCACCCACATAAACGTGAGAGAGTTGCAGGCGGCCACGGCGGCGATCAGGTGGCGCGCCCGCAAGGTCGCGCAGCGCGGGAGCAGGTTCTTGCACCTCGTCGACAGCCAGGTGGTCGCGGCCATCGTGACGAAGGGCCGCAGCAGCAGCAGGAAGCTACAGCCCATCCTGAGGCGCTGGATGGCCGTCGTCGTGGCGGCCGACATGCACCCACTGATCGGCTACGTGGTCTCGGAGGACAACCCTGCGGACGAGCCGTCGAGGATGCTGCTGTGGCGTGGCTCGAAGCCCAGGAGGCGAGGGCGACCCGTGCCGCGCGCGCGGCCGCTCACCGCAGGCCCGCTCCCGTGAGACGCCGCGGGACGCGCTGCCAGACTCTCTCTTCCCTGAGGGTGTCAGCGGAGACGCGGCGGCGCTACGGGCGGGCCTGCGCGCGCTGCTGGCCCACTTTGGGGCCGAGCAGGCGGGGGCGGACGCCTTGCGCGGCGACCCCGAGGACGCAGACGCCCTCGTCGCGGAGTACCTCGAAGGCCTGTGGGCCTCTGGTGCGGGCATCGCGGCCGCCAACAACACGCTGGCGGGGGTGTGCTTCGCGGTGCCTCGTCTGAGGCGACACCTCGACCTGAGCTGGACTCTCCTCAAGGCATGGAGGCATCATGAGCCAGCGTCCAGGGTGCTGCCGCTCACGTCCGAGGCCGTAGCGGCCATGGCAGGGTTCGCGTGCGCTGCAGGTGCTTTCGACGTGGCCGCCCTCCTTCTCGTCGGCTTCGAGGGCATGCTCCGAGGCGCAGAGGTGTTTGCCCTGGCGGTGGGCGACATCGTCGACCGCGGCGAGCTGTTCATAGTCCGCATCAGCTCGTCCAAGACCACGGCGGGCAAGGACTGCGCGGAGGCAGTCGTCGTCCGCAGCAGGATGGCCGCGGCGCTCCTGCGGATGGCGGTCCGCGGCCTTGGTGCAGGCGCGCGGCTCTCATGGAGGACGCCGCCCCAGCTGCGTGGTGCCCTCCGCGCCTTGGCGAGGGGCCTGGGCCTGGCGGGGCCCATCACGTGGCACAGCCTGCGACGTGGCGGGGCGAGCGCCTTCTTCGTCAGGAGCGGCTCCATGGAGGCGACCCTCGTGGCGGGTCGGTGGGCCTCCTCCGCCACCGCACGCCTGTACATCGAGGGCGCGGTGGCCGACTCAGTGTGCGCCCAGCCCGGGAGCGAGGCAGCCCGCGCCGTTGCGCGGGGACTGCGGCTCCTGCAGCTGGCCATTGTAAAAGGCCACTGCTCGCGCCCAACAGTGCTTGCCGAAAATCGTGCGTTTGTCTTCGCTTCGGCGAAGGCAACCGCCCTCCCGCCGTGGGGCCGCGTGGCCCTCTCTCTCTCTCTCTCTCTCTCTCTCTCTCTCTCTCTCTCTCTGGGTCTGTTTTCCGGGGTCCCCTGGTTCCGCCCGTTGTGTGGGGCGTTCTCTGTTTGGGGTCCACGCCCGTCTCGCCTTCTCCGTGCATCGTTTCACCTCCTCCCGTCGCCTCCCCCCGTCACCTCCTCCTCGTGTGGAGTGTAAGGGCTGGAGAAGGGCGTGGAGTAGGGGGGTGTGCTGGGGGGGCCAAACCAAGGGGCTGCGAAGGGATGTCTGGCACGCGTGGGGCCGCCCTGTGCGGTGCCTGCCCCGCGTCAGGCCTGTGGCCTGGCGCGGGTTGCGTGTCCAGACCCCCCCATCGCAGTCTTGCGGCTTGCCCCCCCGCACACCCCCGAATTAAGGACCGGCATAAATATGCCATTTGCAGGGGGGTGGGTGGGAGTTAAACGCGGACGGCCTACGTAGCCTTAAGGCCAGTAGGTGGGGGAGTTAGATAGCGTAGGCCCCCTCCCCAGATTGCTGTATGCGAACGGTGGAGGACCACCTCGCACGCCTTAGGTGGCAAGCGCGCGGTGCGGTAGGCGCCGCGTGCTTGCCGCCTAGGTAATGCGTGGCGTAGGGTACCCTTGCATCCCGGCGCGTACAGTAGCTGGGGGGTTTGAGGGGGGCTGGCCTAGTCTGACCATTGGCGTGTCCGCACGCAAAAAGGTGGGGCAGGGTATGTCTGTATACTGGTCCCCTGTATGCGCATACCCGCCCCCCCCCCTTTGGCCAGGACACGCCGCCCCAACACGTCCGTAGCCTGTTTGGGCTCCCACCCGCGGTCCACCCCTTCCGTGTTGAGGCACGCTTTCTGCTGATGCCGTAGCCCAGAAGATAGCGTGGGCCCCCTCCCCAGATTGCTGTATGCGAACGGTGGAGGACCACCTCGCACGCCTTAGGTGGCAAGCGCGCGGTGCGGTAGGCGCCGCGTGCTTGCCGCCTAGGTAATGCGTGGCGTAGGGTACCCTTGCATCCCGGCGCGTACAGTAGCTGGGGGGTTTGAGGGGGGCTGGCCTACTCTGACCATTGGCGTGTCCGCACGCAAAAAGGTGGGGCAGGGTATATATATATATATATATATATATGTGCGTGTAACTGCCGCAGCCCACGGAACGAACTTGTTCGTTCCCTGGAGACATCGGCCGCCTCTACCCTCAGATCCATAGTCACGCCTGCGCTTTCTCTTTCGCCCCCGACAGCAATGCTTTAGGCGGCGCCAGAATTGCGATGGGCCGCGAGCAAGTCAACGTTTATGTTCGAATGGACTCGCGCCCAGCCCTTTGAAGGCAGGGCCCGGCGCGCCGCGACGCAGGGCCTCCGCGGTTGCTGTCTATTCGCGTTGCCCTATCGCATCTGAACGCGTGAATACGTTCAAGATGGTGCTTCGCACGCTCCACTGGGAGGTTCCTTTTGGGCTGGCCAGCTTGCGATTCTGATGGGCAGCTGAACTTTAATTTTGGAGGGCGAAAAGGGGGGGCAGGAAACCCGGGGCGGCCTTCGGAGATGTCGGCGCGCCCAGACCTTCAACTTCGCGTTCCCAGGCATGGGCGGGTTCCACCGAGACTTTGAGGCTCGCCGTGCACTAGTTGATGGCAGAGAGATGCCCTCTGAACATGTTCCTCTCTCCACCTCCCTGCCCGGGCAAGTGCAGCCTCGCTGCCCTGGGGAGCTGGCATGTCCCGTTGGCTGTTTGAGTCCAGCGAGTTTGCCGACGATGCGCCAGCGATGAGCGCCTCGCCTGGCTCGAAGCCTGCGCGCGATCTGCTGCGGCCCGTGCTCGCCGCCTCAGCAAATTCAGAGATGCGTGCTTCGCAATCAGAATGTCCGCCTGTCCGATGCCGCGTTAACGCGCTACCCTAATTGTCCGAGGTTATTGATGGCACCGCCCTCGAGCGCGATCCTGCCCCCAATGTGCCTGCGTGTTCGCGGGCACCTACATAGTCGTTCTCGATGCTAAAACTATTGAGCCGGGGCGCGGCGCCCCGGGTGATTGCCGACATTTGAAGCAGGGGCGCGAGCTCAAGTGTCGACTTCTCTTTCGGCTGCACTTCCGCCGTCGCACGCGGCGTCGAGGAGTGGCGCGGGAGGATGGCCGACCCTGCGCGGCCCGGGAAACCGGCCGAAGCCTTCAAGCTCCGCTGGGGCAACGTCTCCAGCGCCCAAGATTGGGACAGGGCCCGATGCCCCGAGTTGTTTTCTGTTGCCCTGCCTTTCCCCTAAGAGTTGTTATGCCGTGGGGGTCTGACCGCGCGTCTTGCACTGTCTACGCGATCGATCACGGCACTCTTGGGATATGATGGCATTCTTTCTTGTCGGCGACGCGCGCTGCCGACTTTTCCTGGCAAGCAGACCCGAGGGCGCCGAAAACGTCCCCGTGGCTTCTCTGCCCGAGGGTGGACTCTCAGGATTATGGTGGAGCGACGTTGATCGGGCCCCCGAGAATGCGAGGCCCTCGTTCCGCGCCATCGCTGACGCGACGACGCTGACCGAGTGCATGCCTCGCCCGCTGGGCGATGTGGCGAAGCTTTGGTTCGCCCCCTCGCAGCCGTGCATTTCTGGTCGCGACATGGCTGTCCATATTGTGCGACCCCTCCGAGGCAATGATGATTGTTCGCTGGTCCTGGCGAACAACTCCGCCGCTTCCCCCGCGGCGTCGAGAGCGCGGTTCGCAGGGGTCATGCGTTGGATGGGGCCCCCTGGGTTCGTCGTGCAGTTTCACCTCTAGACGGACAACGCTGCTCGGGCTTCGCTTGTGGACCAGGTTGTCGAGGCGTTTGGTGTTTCTCGTGGGCCACCTGCAGGCGCGTTGTGGGCGCCAGCTGTGGCGATAGCATGCGTCTACAATTGATTGGTTGGGATCGTTGCCAGGTGTGCGCGGGGCGCTAGATCGCGCCCGGGCCCCGTCTCACGCACGTTTGCAGGCTTGGCGCGGCTGGCGGCCAATCCATGGTCATCGCGTGCTTTTGTGGGCTCGTGCGCGAGAGCATCTTGCCTTTCGCTGCCCTGTGATTCATGGTCTACAAGTGCTCGCGAGTCGCGAATACCTTGGTCTGGCGTTCGGGCCCCCTGCCTCTGATGAGCATTGGAAGCGCTCGGTTTAGACGGCCGCCCCGCGGGTAAAAGAGGCTGGGGACCGGGCTCACATTCGCTCGCAACAACTATTGCAGCATTCCGCGCCACGTGCCCGGCGACAGTTCCTTCGCGCTTCGGCTTTCGCAGCCGTCAGCTCCGGCGTCCAAGGCGCGCGAGAACGCGATGCGCCTGCTCGTCGCCGGCCCCCGCTACGTTGTCAAATGCAGTGCGGTGATGACCAATCTGCACTTGAGGGGACCTCCGAAGTTTTTCCAAAAGGGTGGAGGCGGCGTCTCGCGCGTCGAAACTTTGGTTTCAGGAGAGCAGCGGGATCTGCGGGGTGCTGGGGGCTCTAGAGACTAAGCGCGCACCGTGCCCCGACGAATTGTTGCGCCATCTCTGCTACGTGGCTCCGCTCTGCGCAAAGCCTGCTGGCGCGCTCCCAGCGCCCGCGTCCCGACTGCAGCAGCAGCGGCCGCGCTGCGATCGCGCGCCAGATCAATCGTTCTCCCGAGTCGCACGTTGTTGTTGCAGCCGAAGCGATCAGGATGCGGAGGTGGATGGGCCAGATCCCCATGGATTTTATGCCGCGTGTCCAAGGCTGCTCGTTTTGCGATCCGTAGAACTAGTACGTACCTGGGCGTTCCCGTCGTTTCTCTTCCCACGGTTTGAATTCTTCGGCCCAGTGTCAGTGTAAAGCGCGCGGGCGCTAACTAGGCGCGATGGCGCTGCCCCATCCTTTCCCGACCTCGAGGACGCGACCCATTATTCAATATGTCCACACGTGTATTTGTTTTATGTGACCAATGGTTAAGTGAGTTGATGTGTCTTCCTGCCAGTCCCCTCCCCGGTTGTTTTCCGCTTCCCCGCGTCGCAGCGGCCTCGCACGGTGCAG